GTTATTAATGTAGTGAACGATTAATCAAAAGATATGACGTATTCAGTGCTTAGTGTGATTGGCTTTATGATTGAAGGTTACGCCCTAGAGTCTTTTACTGTTTTGTAATTGGTTAGAGTTTTGAAAATGAATAAAGAGAGTTTTGAGTTGGTCTTGACAAGTACACCACGAGAGACGAGTCGAGAGTGCAGTCCTGGAGAGCCTTGGGGCGAGTGTTGACGCAGTCTAAGAGAGTCTTGGGTCAGCCTTGCGATAGTCTTGGGGATTTTTCCCCAGGGCGCTGTGTCTTACAGAGTGCTCGAATGGCCGACTAAGACGAGAGCTGAAACGTATTTCATTGTGTGTGTCTTATTTGACTGTAAAGCTTAAGTGTCTTTCCCGATCCCGCACCTTAAGGGGACGCGATAGAGAGACGAGACGAGATCCCCCCCTGGCAAGTATAGAGAACCCAGAGAGAAGAGAATTACCCCCTGATAGGATGATAAGGTGCAGGTTTCTTGTGCTCTATTCCATTATTCTTCAAGAAAGTTTCGAACTCGTCAGATGTGAATTGTGGTCCGTTGTCACTTACAAGAATCTCTGGTAAACCATATTTAGCAAACAAGTTTCGCAGTACTTCTATTGTATCAGACGAAGTAATTGATTTCATAGTAGTCACTTCCGGTCACTTATAATAAGCGTCTTGTATGACTAAAAACATCTTACCCAAAAATGGATCAGCAAAATCGATATGGATACGCTGCCACGGTTGTTCAGGCCAATTCCATGGATGAAGTGATGCTTTACTTAGGCATATTTTGTGTACTTTGGAATTCAACACATTCCTTAGCTTTATCTTCAATATCCTTGTCTAAACCTGGCCACCAGATGTAACTTCTTGCTAAGGCCTTCATTTTGACTATTTCTAAGTGACCAGTATGTAGTTCGCTTAATACACTACTTCATAGTTTATGTGGCACAATAGCACGTATTCCCCACATGAGGCAACCTTGATAAACCGTAATCTCATTTCTGCGAGTGTAGAAAGGTGCAAGTAATTTCTCACCATCATTTTCCCAACCATTCTTGGTGAACTCCAACACTTTTGACAGTACTTGATCTTTCCTAGTGTCATTGCATATGTCTACGAATGAAACTGGCAACTGCTCAATTTGCGACCTGTTAAAGACCTTTACATAATCATCATTTCTGTAGAAATTAACAGAGGTAGACGAGAGAGTCCATCAGCATTTCCATGACGTAATGCACTTCTATGTCATATGTATGACCAGACAAAAAAATTGTTCTCCTTTCTCATTTCACTGCAATGTTTGGCTACAAGGCAGACCTGTCTTCCCCACCCACCCTTCCCTTCCCTTCACGGTATATGTGGCTTTTTTGTTATAATTGTTATCTTTTTAGTGTAGGTTTTATAGTATGATTGTAGAATTTTCTTGCCAAACATGAATGAAAATGATCCAAAACCCTTGGTAATATAGTATGGTCAAAAAGCAAGATGGCCATCAGTCGGTCGCCTTTTATCCGATTGTAAAAAAAAATTGTGTGGATATGTAATGTAAAACGTACAATGCAAGTACCAAATTTTAACTAAAACTGCATGCATAAGATACCTCATTTTCAAAAAACAAAGTGGCTGCTAGTCGGCCATCTTTGATCCAAATTTGAAACGAATTGACATAGACATGTATCATAACATGTATAATGTCTGTACCAAATTTGAACAAAAACTGATAAAGCATGCATAAGATACTACATTTTCAAACATCAAAATGGGTGCCAGTCGGCCATCTTTGATCCGATTATCAAATCACTAAGCCAGATTCCGTCCAGGACCTCGCATGGGCCTAAACGATGACAGACATAACACAGCCATTAGCTAGTAATCAACTAAATAAGTCGATTAACAGATACGTGCAAACAATTTCATCATACGATCACAAAACAAATCGTAATGTATCTTAAGATTTATAATGTATGTACCAAATTTGAATACAAACTGACAAAGCATGCATAAGTTAACTACATTTTCAAAAAACAAAATGAATGCCAGTCAGACATATTGGATTGTATCAGTAAACCACTGCATGTGCACTGGACCACTGCATATGTCCAAGGTAAAGTACTAGGCATTGTCGTGTGCGTTGTTATAGGTTTATTGCTGTCAAATATTTCATTTTAGCTGGAATTAATTTTCGTTTAAAAGACATTTTGTATGTTTTGTATAGAATTTATTTTCACTGATTTTTGATGAACTGAATGTAAATTATAGGAAAAAAGGTATATTCGCTGGATTTTATTTTCACTGAATCATTCCTTTAGCGAAAATAGAGTATTATTTTACAGTGTTTAAGTTAGTTTTGAATCATATATTTCAACGTTAGACCAGTATAATTTGGCTGAATCTCAGTGTTGTTGTAAAAAATGTGTATATCCATAATATGAATATTGAACATGTGTATCTTGTATTTTAAAGAATGCACACGATTCAACACACAACACTCATAAAGGTGCCAGTACAATTGTCTATGTATCAATTGTAATGTGGTTTTACCCCGCTCATTTTCGCGTTAAAATAGTAATAATCTGATTCAATCGCTATACAGATAAACCTATCAATGAAAAACGCTGAAGTTCCGTTCATGGCATAAGATTTGTATACTGCCAATATTAGTAAACAAATAATTGACATAACTACACGACACGTATGTGTATAAGTTAAGGTTATACGACTAAGAATATAACCCGCATGATTGGTAGAAAGGTGTCACGTGTTGACGCCTGACATCCTGTTAACGTTGTATTTCTAAACTTTGTCCAATCAGGTGATGCATTTTAGTCACATGACACAGAAACGGGTCATGTGGTGTAATAAAGGACTTAACCTGGACACTAGACAGATACACAACCCGTATTTGGCATCAATACGTACTTTGTCGTGTTCTCGAGACTGAAGTGAAGTGAAAGTGTGTATACTATGCCTTGTATTCGTCATGTATTCTTCTGAATAATGTTCTAAAATGACGACCTATCTACCGTTAGTCTTGATCTCAATTATAACAGAGCAATCCCCATCGTACAATGTAGTATTTACTCGAAACTGTGACAAAAAATCAATTAAATACTGAAGGATAGGTGAAACACACGACATCAAATCTATATCGGACTCGTGTTGATGTCCTATTACATCCGATTTTTTTTTGAAGAAACTAAATAAATTTAAAAGTGTTTTTAAATTAAAATAAAATAAATTATCCTTATCGACACTTACAGTTCTTAAACCTCATACTTTTTTTCAATATTAGAATACAGTATATAATACATGTACGCATCATATGCATTGTATATATATGTGTATATTATCCAGAGTTGACATATTTCTGTGCAGAGCGCAAATGGAGCTGAACGTTATACCGATGTATATGGGTGTATGAGTTGTGTCACATCTTAACTAACCAAAATCTTAAATCGCTGGATGGTTTGGCACACGTTTACTTTGTGGTGAACTCCAGACCTGTATGGATTTTGCCATAATCTCTTGCATATTCGCTACCATTAAACCATAGAAAAAAATGGATCAGCGTAAATCATTCAAAAGTTTATTCAAATACTTGAAAGTCATTCATAAGGAGAAAGAAGAAAACATCATTCAGGAAACATCAACAAATATTGAATTCATTTTTCACGGAAGCGCTTCCTACTAGCATCGCCAGTTCTTACTGATTGGCGGCCATTTTAGACCTTAATAGTTGCGATTGAATTGAACAAGAGGCAAGGGAGTTGTTTTTATTTTCGTAATAATGTAATTTAAATAAATAGAAAACATAAATTCGTAGACATGGAC